GGCGGAGCCTCAATTCTCTTCTTTCCCCTGTATCCTGCCACCACCACAGCATCGTACACTGGCAGCCACTTGTAGGGGTTCACAGTAACGCAGAACAACCCTGAGTAGGTCTGCAAAGTCACAGAGAATCATCACTGATGCACATCTGCCTGCCATCATCAGAGGCTTCAGCTACAGATGTTTAGATTAACCCAAACTTACGTAGATCATCCATGCTGCATAACGCTCTTTGAGGTTATACAGCACAGCGGGCTCATTGAGGTGGGTCATCATGGCCATGTCCTCAATCTTATCAAACTTTGGAGGGTTCATGGGGAAGATTTCATCTTCTTTCACAGTGACACTCTGATGCAGAGAGAACAGTCTTAGTAACAGTAGACAAATGGGATTGTCACAGTTTATGAATCTTCACACTGCAGTATGTTTTAGAACGTGACATAATGTTGGAAAAAATATACTAACAAAAATCAGTAAATATCCAAAGGCTCAGTGTCAAATGAAAGCACATAAGCATCACTGCAGCCACACAGTGTATATACTGTAGCACCTTTCTATCTAATCAAGACACTCAAAGCTCTTTACAACACAATCTGTGCTCTTATTAACCCATTCATACAGCATCCTACTAGATCTATACAAAGCTTATCTGAATCTGTAGAGACTAATCAGAGATTTAGATCACATTCATACACTGATGGGACGCACATCAGAGACAATGAGGGGTTCAGTGTCTTGTTCAGGGACACTTCAACATGCTGGTGGAATCGATCCCCCAACTCTTACAATGGAGGACGACTGCTCTAACTGCTCAGTTACAGCTGCCATATAATATGTAAAACAAAGTGTTCATCCAGCTGTTCTCACATTCGCACTGTGAACATCATCACCCACCTTTCCACAGAGGGTTTCCACGGTGGCTTTGCCGCCGTCTTTCTTGATAAGTTTCCCTTTGAGGTACATCTCGTTAGCCTCCGTCACAAAATATGCTGTTTTAGCATCAAAGGGAGCATTCTGAGCTTCAATCCGTTCCCTTTCTGGCTTCCGGAGGTAGACGGCCGCCGGGCCAAAACACTCCATCTCTCCGTCCCCACTCATGTTGACCCTTTACTTAAAGAAAAAAGAATTCAGAGAAATTACTTTTCAGCTTGAAAAATGTGCTTTTATTGCTTGAATGAAAAGAGGAAAGCGGTTTTAACCACACTTTTCGTCAAAGATGAAATTATGAAACGAATGAATTAAACTTTTCTTAAGTTACTACTTCTTAAACTTTCAGCAAAATTTTGTAGCAAAATTAAATTACATTGCTGAAATGAGATTGTTGTGGTATCAATACACACGTGTGGGAGTGAGAGGCATTTATACTTTTTATGACACTAAATCAGAGCTAAAGCTTCATAAATCAAAAATAAAATTGCTGTTAATTTTAAAATATCTTTGGCTAAGGGAAAGTGTAATAAAAAATAATTACCTTCTCCCCTCTGTCCAGAACAGCTGTTGGTGGTCTTATGAGGGATCTGAAGAAAAATAAATATTTCAGATTGCGGACTGTTCACAAAACATCCCGTCTATTGTAAAGTTGTTACTTTACAATGCAGCACAGTCCTAGCAAACACACAGCAGCTTTGTCTCTGGCATTAAGTGGCCATGCCCTGCATTGTTTTTTAAGTTGTCGGCTTGCCTCCCGCTAATAAAAGACTGTAAGTCACTCACCTTGTCTGGTTGCCTGACAGTCCTTGGAGGCGTTCTGCCTTCTGTCTTATATAGAGAGAGATCAGCGTTCACTCCGCAGAAACCCCCTCCTTTATTTGGTCATGCACTTTTATACTCTTTGATTGAGTATTTTTGCCTCCAAGTTGACCTTGTCTACTTTTTTTTCTACACATATCAACAAACACAAGTGCTCCACCATACAGGAAGATCTTATTAAGGTTTGAGTGACACAACGAACTGATTTAAAATGTTGCAAAGACTGATCTTTGGTTGAAAAATGATGGTTAATTGATTTAAAAATAAAATGAACTGAGATCTAAGAACTAAAAACACAGTGAGTTACTTTTCTCTGCTCGCTTACTAAAATATTAATAATTATAATTTGTATGGTAAAAGGAAATACCCAAGATTTTATTGTGCGAACTATATCAGGAATGCTACACAATAGATGCTGTAAACTAGGAGGAGATTTACAAATTGGATACAGGAAACTCTCAAAGAGGCATGTTTTAAAAACTGTGTGAACTTTTTTGTTTTCCTGGCAAGTACAATCAGCAGTTCAGCCATTGTTTTCATCTCTCGAATAATCTCCTTAATGTGCTGCACAGCAGAAGATCTGCGTTCAGCTGTGGAGAAGCTCTGGCGTGTCACTGGGATTCGGTTGCAGAAGCCTCGCAAGTCTTTCCTGTGACAAAGGAGCCAAACTGGACCCAACAGTTGCTAATCTAAGAACCTGTGAAAACAATGATCCCTCATGACAACAGAAAGAAGCATTGCGGTCTGCGTTTCATTAAATCTCAAACATAATTGGATTTGTTCTAATTAAGGATAGAGGACAATAGGAAGCAGAACAATGCTGGTATTTATAGCTCTCTCATTTCCTTTCTCTTGAGAATGTGCATCATGTAAAACAAATGCGTCGTTTGTGTCAAAAAAAAAAGTTTTCATGAAAAGTTCATCGTCAAAACCTGAAAACATTCTAAATTATTCCCCTATTTTCAGAAAAAATACTAAACTAATAAGGGAAAAATACTATGCAAAAGAGTTAAAGAACAATTTTATCCCACGGACTCTCAAAAATGTTCACTAAGTGTAACGTTCACCGCTAAGGCGTTTAATTATCCCATTATAACTGAGGGTGGATGACATGGCAAGGGTCTTATGACTGAGTTAATGTGGTGAGATTACACTTTAACTCCTCTAATTAACATTCATAGGCAATATAAATAAATATTAAATGTGTGTGATTGAAGAAAAAGTGATAAACAAACAGAGTGCATGAAAAATAGGTAATTTGTGTGTGAGTGGATGAATTTAAATGTGCAGTAAAATCACTGTAGATGGGATTAATTACCTGAATGCACTTATCAAATGTGTGGGCAACTTCATTTAAACCCTGGGCTTTGAACAAATAATGAATGACAATATAGTCTTTATATTTACACAAAATGCGTTTATCGGAGAAGATCTAATAGGTGACAAATTCCAAACATAACAAAAGATCTAAAAATACCCAAAAGTCTTCTTTGAACTTGAACAAAGTATATGATGAGTCATGCAATATATTTTCTACAAAGAAATGCAAAACATAAAGACTAAAGTTAAAGTATTTATCAAGTGTTAATTCATTTTATCTAAAGTATACAACTTATAAACTTATCAACTTTTTGCATGGAGTCATTATACACAAATAAAACTAAGTTTTTATTTCAAGAGTAAATTGTGGTATTTTTGCAGAAAAATTCATGATGTGAAAAGCAAATTTGAATATTTGTTATTATTTGTGATCCCATTTGAGGCTAATACAATTTTTACTCCCCAAAAGATAACCAATAGAGCCTAGAAAGGTTCAGGTGCAGAAATAATAATAGAAACAGAGTCTGAGGCGGGAGGAATCAGTTCCCTCAGGTGAATAAATCATGTGCATAAACTCAGTACATTTAGCATCGCTGTGCTGCAGGTGGTGTTTTGAGATGTGCAGCTATAAATGAAAAACAGAAATCAAAATATCGCACATGTAACACAAGGATTTAGAAACAAATGCAACACCCAGCTATAATATTCAAAAATGTGCTTGTTAATCGAATTTTAAAGAATTTATTTTGCTCAAGTTGCTCTTGTCTACTTTTCTGTTGTTGAAAGAGAATTCAGTAACAGTTCTTTATCGTGTTATTGAATTTTAGGGGGAACATTTATCAAAATATTTAAGCTGTTAAATGCAAACAATTGTTTATTCTCCAGCAAAAAAAAAAAAAAAAAAAGAGGCTATTAACAAATATGAGTTACGATTTCTTAGGCTGAGGAATTTAATTTCTCTGACCTTCATTTTTTAAAGATAGATGGTATTTGTACAGTTTATTAGAAACTGTTGTTATTATACAATATAAAAAATAAAAAACTTTGATTTTGCATTTGTAAAATTAACTAGCTTCTTAATATTAATATGTAATAATAATAAAGGTAATTATTATTATTATTATAAAAATGACTGCTTGTTTAATTGGAGATTAGTATGATCAGTCTGTTCTGATTGGTCAGCTTCCGGGGCCTGATCCACAAGCCCCGCCCATCAGGTTGCATTGCTAAAATTCTAAATTTCAAAGAATGTATTTAGGAGATGATACATTAAAAAAAACAACATCTTTAAATTAAAACCTCTCAAATTAATTTCAAATAACTTCCAGATTAAACACAAACAGGTCTGTCTTGTAAATGAGTCCTTGAAGCTCAATGAGACTAACCTGTATAAATAAAAGTTGGATTAAAATGAATAAATAAGCACAAAATTAGGTTTTTGTTGTTGCTTGGGTAAAAGTTGCTGCAAATCTGGTGAATTATTGAGCTCATTCATCCTTTTTCTTTAATTGCTTTTTCATAAAGGGTCTTGAGGGGAGCTGATGCTTATCTGTGGAGGTCTTTGGATGAGAGGCAGGGTACACCCACCACTGGTCAACACTAAATGACAGTACAGATTTTTGGAAGTACCCATCCAAGGTTCTAAGCAAGCTGAGTTGAGATGAAGATTAGACGTCAGCAGAATGCAGGGTTGGCCAACGTCAATCATGAGAGTGCCACATTCACAAGAAACCCACCATTTTAAAAATATCATGACTGCAGCATCCATCCATTATCTTTACCCACTTCTTCCGTTCTGGATTGTGGGGGTCACTGGTGCCCATGTCCAACAATCACTGTGTAAGAGGCAGGACACCCTGGACAGGTCTCCAGTCCATCACAGACACATATAGAGACAAAAGAGACAAACAACCATTCACTCTCTCACTCACAGCTAGGGACAATTTAGAGTTACCAATCAGCCTGACATGCATGTTTTTGGTTTGTGGGAGGAAACCGGAATATCCGGAGAAAACCCACACATGCACGGAGGGAACATGCAAACTCCACCCAGAAAGGCCCAGAAAAAGAGATTTGATTTGGCAACCTTCTCACTGACAGCTGACAGCACCACCAACAATGTCGCCCAACTGCAGCATCTGTTTTAGTTTTGGAAACCATGCTACAGGATGATGAGTGTTTTGTTTCTTTATTTTATTTATTTGCCCATTGTTGTGTTGTGTTTGTCTTGAATAAAAAATAACATTAAGCAGCCACGCTATAATTACGGTTACATAGAGGTGGCGCTCAAGTTGTGCACCGAGCTCGTGTTGTCCCGAATAGAGTCGAAGCTAGTGATGAGACTGGACTATAGAAAAACAGGTAAAGTGTTTAGAGAAAAATCACGTGTTCAAATAGAACATGTAAACTCCATATTGAAAGGTCTCAGACATGTTTTGGGACTTAAACCATCGTACTGTGAGGTGATCATTTTATATACTGTGCCACTATGCCGCTAAATTACTGAGGGTATTATGTAGAAACCATGCTTGATTTAATATAACTTTTAAAAGATAAAGTAAGCAATTATGAATAATTGTAGATAAACTTTATTTTGAAGTGTTGCACATAAGACGCAAAGATAGGAAAGGTGTTGAAATGGTTAGCAGTGATAGCTCATAACAGTTGCTCAACATGTTCTTTATGGGAAAACAATCAATTAAAAAAATAACATTTATTTAAAAAATACAAGTCGCCCTCCTTTGCATGTCAGAGTTTCAAAAACATTTGACACAGTCAGCACTCTGCGCTGTGAATGACTCTCATGTGAGAAGCTCATCAGAGACTCTACTTCCTCAGGCGGCTGAGACGAGCTGGTCTGGGAAGCTCAGTCCTCACCTCCTTCTACAGGTGTGCAGTGGAGAGCATCCTGTGCTCCAGCATCAATGTGTGGCATGGAGGCTGCACAGCTGCAGAATGAAAAGCTTTGCAGAGAGTGGTGAAAGCTGCACAGAAGTCTGTTGGACTCAGCCTTCCCACCATCACAGACATCTACACCTCCAGATGCAGGAAGAGGGCCACCTGCATCATGAAGGACCCCACTCACCCAGTACACACCCTTTTTGCCACAATCCCCTCAGGCAGGAGGTTGAGGAGCATTAAGTGTAGAACCACTAGACTGAGGAACTGCTTCTACCCTGAAGCTGCTAGACTCACGAATCCTTGAGTACACAATGTCGTTCCACCTCATGTACCACATGTGATGCAAATGACAATAAAGAACCTTAAACATACACAAGCACATGCTTTTCATGGTGACAGGCAACAATCATTTGAAAATCAATCATCCTAACTAGCCTTGTAGTACAGTAGACTAAAACAAGTATTTAACACCTCATGGTATTACTGTAGTAGTAACACCCTGTTACAGTTTAATCCATTCTTCGTCTTTTATTTGCATTTTCACAGCTTCTAATTTTCTCGCGATCAGTTTACAAATGCAACACTTTAAAGAATCACCGAGGAGGATCTGTCCTTGACACTGTGAACTCCACTCCACGTTGCTAAAAGTTCAAGGTTTAAACACAAAACGGCTTTATCTTTAGACATGCTGCTTATACATGTCAGCGCCCGACAGGAAGGACATTTTCGACGTTAGTGAGAGTTTATTTGTGGCGCGGTAAACTCTAT